AGTCCTTCTGATGTTGCCTATGAAGGATGTTGTGTGTCTTGAAAGAACAGTCTAATGTCCCAGAACTCTATAGCACATATCCTGGGCCACAAAGAGCTGTATAGAAACTAGGTCAAAAGTGCTTATTCAGGAACTTAGGACCATGCATATTTCCCCCTTGTTTTTTATACAAGTATTGTTAGGTATTTTTTTCCCTGATGGGAGGTTGTTCCTCCGTTTTCCTACCAACAAAATTGTAATCTCCTGCTCTGAAGCATGTATGTCTCTCTCCCCATACCTTGAATTTCCAGTATGGTTTCCTTGTCACTCTGGTCGAAGTTGGATTAGGGTGGCCTTAGTACAATTTGATACGGCAGAAATGGAATGATTACCCTCTCCCCATATCTTGAAAACCTGCTCAGCTGAGGTGAGGTCTCCTCTGTTGAAGTGGTTTTAAGATGTACATATATAAAGGGTGATATGTGTTTCATGGATGCTAGGCAGTTTCTTTACCTAGTTGCTTAGGAGACAAGGTTAGAAGATGACATGTCCTGAGAACAGGGGCCTGCCTTCATCATGATGTTTACCTTATAGTAGTGTACTCAGACAATCTTTGTCCTTTTGTGATTGACTAGCCTCCTTCAGCATAATGGTTTCCAGGTCGCTCCATGTCATAAGGCGTCTCGTCGCTGTGTTTAGGGATGCAGAGTATTCCATCGTGTGTATGTATGAGGGTTTCTTTATCGAGTCTTCTACTGATGGGCATTTGGGCTGTTTCCTGCTTCCTATTACTTTGAACTGTGCTGCAATGAACATGAGAGAGTGTAAGTCTGTTCATGTTCTGTCTCTTTATTTCTTTGTGCTTTATGGTCAGCAAAGTTATTTCCAGTTGTGTGTATGTAGCAAGGTTTCTTTATGCATTTTTCTACTGATAGGCATCTGGGCTATTTCCGGCTTCTTGCTATTGTCCACTGAGCTGGAATCAATGAATATGGGAGAACATATATTGGGGTAGGTGCCCAGCAAAGGTATTGCTAGGTTGTATGTATTGCTATTCTCAATTGTTTTAGGTATTGCCCTATTGCTTTTCACAATGGTTGTACATATTTATAAACTCATTGTCTAAGTATAAGAGTTCTAATGTCTTAGCACCCTCCTCAGCATTTGTTGTTCTTTGATTTTTTAAAAAATGGGGCTATAAGATGTGGTTATATTTCATCCCCCCCCAAAAAAGATATTTCATCATTTGTTTTGATTTGCATTCTCCAGATGGATAGTGATGACAAACATTTTGCATGAGTTTTCTCTGGCACTTGAGGGTCATCTTTTGTAAATTGTATATTCATATAATTTGCCTACCTTTCAATTGTATTTTTTTATTGCACAGTTGTAATACTAGACTTATTTTAGTAATTAGTCCCCTGTCCGTTGTCATTATTAAAGGTCCCTCTTCCCCAATTAATGGACCCTCATTTTACTCTTTTGATGTGAATATTTTATGTTAAATAGGTCCTAGTCAGCTCTTGGCTTTTACTGTTTGTACTTCTTTTATTAGATTCAGTAGTCTGTCTTACAGCTTTTAGAAGTTACTTTCTCTTCTTATTCTGTTAGGGAAAATGTCTTCGAAGATTTCTTGTACTATTTTTTTCCCCTCCTTGAATTCCAGTGAGATATGATATTGTTTGATGGTGTTCCACATAATTCTTAGGCTTTTCCCAGATCTCTTTTCTGTTGATAATCCCTCTCTTGGGTTACAGTCAAGGAATTTGTCTTCAAACTCACTTATTTATTTTTAATATCAATTTTTATTAAAAATGTAAACTTGGGGGGGGGGTACACTTCTTCCATTATATTGCTCTGTTCTTTTAAAGTGTTTTTTGATAGTGTTATCTTGGTATTTATTTTTTGGAAATCTGTTGTTTTTTTGTTGTAAGGCTTCTAAATTTTCTATTTTTCCCCCCATAGCTCTCTTGAATTTTTTCTCCATCCACTGAAAGTAACTGATAATTTCTTCTGAATTTTTTCCTGGTAATTCAAGAGCCCATTTTTCTTTTCAGAAAACTCCTTTAGATTTGGGTCTGGTTCCCTTATTTGTAGGGAGCACTAGTAGTGTAGTGGGCTATACATTGGGCTGCTAACCCTAAGTTTCTTGGAAGAAAAGATGAGGCTTTCTATAATCATAAAGATTTACAGCAGATGTACTCTATGCTCGATAGCTTTTGCCAGTCATAAACTACTCAATGGCAGCGTTCACTTGTTTGTGTGTCCCATCCCCTCCGTGTGTATGCACCTATATTTTCTATCTTTGTGTGGTAGTTACATAATCTTGTATCAGCTTGAGGATATTAAGAGTGCAGGGGTGGGGTCTAGTTTGTTAATCATGTCATGTGGGGAACTGGCCCTGCCTAAATTCCTGCCCAACCCAACTTCCGCGTTCCAAGCTACAGGCTCTGTAGCACGGGCGGTTGTAAAAGCTGACCTTTTCACCCATTGGTTAAAAATACCGAGCACTCATTGGACTACAGACATACCATATTAGGAATATGATGGACTTGGCAGTACGCCTGATGAACCTTAATTTGCATGCGGACGTCTTTGAGAACTATTGCGCGCCCTTTTAATATACCCAGAACCTGCAGCTGATTGGTTATCATTCTTGTGCTTCATTATAATATACATATTGGATTGGATGTTATGCAGCACGCCTTATTAAAATATGCACCTCCCAGTTCCTCTTTACTGCAAATATATACCTCGAGCTTTGCCCAAATAAATGAGCTTGATCAGCGCTTTGACTTGATCCACGTCTCTGTGTCTTTCTTTCATCCAGGTTCGCCTTTCCCTCTAGGGTCATGCTCATGTGTCCCGCAGGCCGGGACACTACAATGTCACAGCCTGATGATGTCTCCTTGTGGGCATGACTTCTCATGAGGAGTCTGGGAACTTCCTTTCTCTTTCTGCCATGGTTTTCCTGTTGACAAGCCACACAAGCACTCGCTGAGACCTGCAAGAGCTTCTCGCATGACTTCACCTTCCTGTTCACAAGACACATTGAGCCACATGGAGACCTGTGCCAGCCCTGAGATGTTTCCTCTGCCATTGTATCCATGACTATTCACCCACCGGCCTGTGATCATCTTGCATCAATGCATGTGGCTGCATGAGTTTGAAGAGAGATTTATGGGCTATTATTGGACTATGGGCTAACATCAGACTTATGGACTTGATTTGGACTGAGAATGGGATGTTTTCTTGAGATCTAATCACTCTTTGATATAAAGCTCTCTCTTACACATATGTCTGTGTTTTTCTAGTCAACCCAGTCTAACACACTGAAACATCTTGATGCAACTATTAAGGGTGAGAGGAGGGCTGGATCCTTAGGGGTAGTTGACTCTATAAATTGGTGCAGGAAAGGAATAATTAGAAACCAAAAGAAAAAGAAGAAAAAAGAAAAAGAAGGAAGAGAACATGAAAGAAAAAGATTAAATCTGCAGTCAAAAAGTTCTAGCAAATATGAGGGGGCTTAAAAACAACACCTGGAATTGTGCTGGGTGGAGCAGAGCGTTTGCAGCACGCATTTCTTCCTGCTAGGCAAGCATCGAGCAACTCACTCTGAGTTAGCACACCAAGTGGAGTTGCCTGGGAAGGTTCTCTGTGGTCACAGGGAATTTTTTCATAAAAGCAGTTTTGCTCAAACCTCGTTTTTTCCTGATGGCGGATTTAAGAGAAAAGCATGTGGCTGTAAAATTTTGTTTCCTGCTCGGGGAAAACTTAAGTGAATGAGTGGTTTTCTTATTTCAAAAAAGGAAAAATATTGATGACAAACCACATTCTGGATGTCAGTCAACTTTCTGAATGGATGAAAATGTTGATTCGTAGTGCATGTGGAGTTCATTCCACCAGGTCAGACTGTTAATAAGACTTTCTATTTAGAAGTTCTGAAAAGATAGTGTAACAGTGTCCAAAAAAAAAAAAAAAAAAAGGCAGATGGGGGACAGATTTTGCCACCATGACAATGCACCTGCTCATGCAGCCTACTCAGTGCACCAGTTTTTTGTAAAAAACAGCATGTTTCTCTTGCCCCACACACCTAATTCATCTGACCTCACTCCATACTATTTTTTTTGTTTCCTCGAATGAAGAGGAATATGAAAGGAAAGTGATTTGATAACGTAGAAGAGCTAAAGACAAAAACCGAGGGAGGTACTGTCAGTCATCCAAACAGATGAGTTTGAAAAATGTAAACAAGGATGAAGTTGCAGATTTGACAAATGTATTAAGTGTAATGGAAAGTACTTTTAAGGTAATAAGGTCATTTTGTCAAAAAACTTAAATAGCTTTGAAAAAATTCTGGGTTTTGTTTTTTTTTTGGGGGGGGGTAGCCCCTGGTATAATATTTGGCCTCCCTACAGAGGCCATGGTGAAAATCATGTACAATATTTAACCCAAAGGGGAATGGGTTTTCATCATTGAGGGAAAAAAAAGTAACCAAATTAAATAACCCTGGGAGCTATAAGGTAAGAAACGTGAGGCAGCATGGCTAAAGGGCCGGAGTCCCAGGTTGTGGAGGGTCCCCTACTTGGCCTAATGGAAAGCAGTTGCCATTGAATCAATTCAGACTCCTGGAGATTTCATGTATGTCAGAGTATAACTATGCAGCATATAATTTTCAATGTTGATTTTCAGTAGATTGCTAACCCTTTCTTTGAGGCATTTCTCAGTGGACTTGAATTGCCAACCTCTGGCTGAGCAGATGAGATTACTAACCATTTGCACCATCCAGGGACTGAAGACTGAGGGGGGCGGGTGTGTGTGTGTGTGTGACTATATCTGGGATTAATATAACCCTATTACCCAACCTTTTGTGGTCTGAAGTGTGTTTCTTTGCCTAAAGACATTCTGGGTTTGGAACTGTGGAATTTCCTCTTTAGCTTTGTTACATCAACATTTGCTAAAGTTTAAAGATCTTTTGAGTAAAGACATCAAACAGACCCTAAAACCACAAATAAAATACCCTGTTTCACACGACGTTCAGAATCCACGTTTAATTATTATGGCCTGAAAGAAATACAGGCTTCCTTGCCATGGGATGTTAATGTCTTTATTAATGTGGTCCTAACATTGTATTTGCTGTTCCCCCTCCCCCCCAAGAGTTGCAGATGAACAACATTTTTGTTCTTTCCAACTCACAGGCGACAAGGTAAGGGCTTTAGAGTTAAACAAAGGGAACAGGATGAGACAGAGGAAAACAACATGAAGGAAGCTTAAGGCAAATGTTATTCCCGTATTAAAGGGAACTCATCAAGAAAATATATGCCTTTCAATGAAAATGTATGCAATATTCACCAACAGAATTCAGATCATTAAGAATTAGAACATACAGTTTGTAAACTATCTACACAGGATTGGCAGAAACAAGCCCATGTATCCTGCAGAGGCTCATGATACACAAGGACACAGAAACATCCACCTTAAGAACAAGTCTCTCACAAATTAGAGGCCAAGTATATTCTAAAAGCAATTCCATAATACAAGTCATGAGGCTGTCTGTGTTTGCTCCCGGCTACCCACAAATGACCTACAGTAGAGATCATGGACCAGCATCCTTCGGGCGAGGCTGTCTGTGTTTGCTCCCCGCTACCCCCAAATGACCTACAGAAGAGACCATGGACCAGCATCCTTCGGGCTCCCTTCTAGAAGCTCTCCATCAGGACACATGGGGGGTCAGATCCACAAGACTCTCAGAGACACAGAAGGAACATGGTGACATGGTACAGTGAGCACCTCAGCTTACAAGAGAGCTGTTAAGAAAGGAAGTAGTAGTATCTTTTGATCCTGGATTTGGATGTGATTTTCTAAGTACTCCATCCCCAGTGGTCAACATTTATGTCCCAATTCTGTTTTATTTTATTTACAGTCTGACTGGCAGATGGCCCTGCAGCAGGCAGAGAAACAAGGAAGCAGCCATGTGGCCTAGAGGAATTGCTAATGCACTGCACAGAAGTTTGAGAAGGTGATGCGTGCTATGCCAAGGGTATCTCTGTTCTGCTTTGGTCTTGAAGATACAGTAAACTTATGGTCCCAGATGCTGCTCTGAACCTGAAGTTACGGATTCCAGAATTCATTTTGTTCCTGTTTTGTGTTTTCCAGAAGAATATAGCCAGGAAGTAGAGTCTCAAGGCGTATCACCATGTGAAGAACACCTCCTTGAATACCCCCAACCTCCTTGTGTGAGCTGCTGCAGGCCCTGGCCTGGTGAAACAAAGCTGCCAAACCCACGGTGTTCACCCTGTCCACCAAGCATAGGCTCCATCTGCCAGACTGGTGAAGGTAGGTGGGCAAGAGGGGCCAGCACCCACTACCCAGCCAAGAGGCAGGTCCGGCAGCAGAATTGAATGAAAAGTTTCCGCTCACAGAGCCTGTTCGATTTCACCATCTCGCAGAATGTTTCATCAGCTAGTAACCCCGCCAGAAAAGAAAAATGAGAGATTAGTTAGACTTTATGGAGTCACTGAGTGGTAAAAATTATTAAGAATTTTACTACAGCCTGAAGGTTCAGCAGTTCAAACCCACCCAAAGGTACCTTGGAAGACTGGTCTGGCAACCAGCTGTCCAGAGGTCATAGTTTTGAAAACCCTATTTAGTTGTACTTGTCATACATGGGGCTACTAGGAGCTGAAATTGATTTGATGGCCTGTTAACCACAAGGTCAGCAGTTCGAAAGCAAAGGCTTCCTATTTGTGTAAAGATGTATAGTATTGAAAACCCACAGGGGCAGTTCTACTCTGTCCTGTAGAGTTGCTATGATTTGGAATGGACTCATTGGCAGTGAGTTAGTTTTTGATTTTAATAAGAGATTTTGGAGTCTGATAAAATTGTTCCCTTCATTCTACATTTGCTGGGAACTGCTGGGATGCCAGGAGTGGGGTGTCTGTGTGTCTGTGTGTGTGTGTGTAGCGGGGACATAATGAGGTAGGACAGCGTGGCAGCCTTCACATCTCCTCTGTGATTGGGAGGGGAGGTGGGGGGCAGGGCACTTGATTTCTGCCAGGTAGCAGCTAGAAATGTAGGTGCTTACACCAAGTGTGAGGGACAGAGGGGTTTATGTGGTATACTAATGGGGCTTTTTTAGGTGGAAGGGGGGCTGAGAAGACAGAGCAGAGGATCTAGAATGTCCTGTGTGGATTTATTATCCTGAGTGATTGTGTGGTGGTGGTGATGGTGGTGGGGGACATGGTGGAGGGCCCTGGAATGGGGCTACTGCTATGGTTCAGTGGACACCCTGATGGAGAAAGGCAATGATGTAATGGGGAGAAACGCCAAGGGAGATAGATCTGATGACAGAAAAGGTGACAGAGTGATGTTGAGGATGGTCCCATCCTGTTGGATTTGATGATGTCTGGCTATTCATGGAACCAGGAAGACCTTCTTGTGACAACCTCCTTCTTGGGCTGGTGTATGACCTGAAGAGGTGGCCTCTTAACGAGGTCTTTCTGGCCTTGGAAGAGGCACAGGTCTGCCTTGAATCAATGTGAGAGGCTTAAAGGAAAGTTGGAGAAAGGACCTTAGAGAAATCTGAGGTCCACTAGGCTGCAGGGCAGGATGGCTGCTCAGTGGGCTCCTCTGACCAAGGCCAACGGGCGAACTCCTGAGGGGTGGCCCTGCCCGCCAGTGCTCACCATTGCTGCACGTGTGGTTGGTGATGCAAGATGCCCCCAGCTGTGTGAAGCCCAGCTTACATTTGCTGCAATTCCTACTGGAACCCTCGCAGCTTGCACAATTCTCATCACACCTGTGGGAAGAAACAGGCCTGTTGTAGTTTGGGGAGGAGTCCTGCTGCTTACTTTGATGGTTATGCCCTGAGCTTCAACGATACTTGACCCTAGGTGACTGGCAAACCCAATTCTGAGCTGCAGCTACCAGGCTGAGAACCCTTTCATGCAATGCCGGCCTCATCGAGGGGCGAGTGTCCTCTAAACTCCTGTTCCCTCTTGATGGTCCTGGCCAAACCTGGCCCAGAGAGGGATATGGGTCTTTTTCTGATGCAAAGTAAATGTAATCTAGGGAAGGGTTGGCACACATTGGCCCCTGAGTTACAGCTGATCTGTTTCTGTAAATAAAGTTTTATTGGAGCACAACCAAATTCACTCATGGATATAATACCTCTGGCAGTTATTTTCCCTTCATTTTCCCCCCAACAGTTTTATTGGCATGTAATTCACATTTAAAAAAATTCAATCACATCAAGAAGAGTTGTACAATCATCACCACAATCAGTTTTTTGCAATATTTTCTTCATTCCTGTGCTCATCATTATTAGCTCGCTACTTCCCTGCAACCTCCCCTTCCGTACTCACAAGGAGCCATTAATCCACTTACTCCTCTATAGATTTACCTATCCTGGACTTCATATATAGAAAAACATTAAACAAACAAACAACCAATAAAAAAACCTAACAAGAATAACAAAATAAACAGATAAAACCTTCAATAGAAAAAAAATAGAAAATATTAAAAACTAGAACAAATTTAAATGAATCAAGGGAGATCAAATGATAGGGTGCTAAATGTTAACCTAACTGCATCTGCAACGATCCACTTTTCAATGCATTCTGTATGTTAGCAAGGTTGTTCACATTCCTGGTCCACGGTCAGGGGGTTTCACCAGAGGCTTAATCCACGTGCATTTCCCCTTCACTTTTCAAAAACGGAAACAGCTTTAAAATGGGTCCAAAGAGAGATCAAATGATGTTACATTTTGACCCAACTACGTCTGCCATAAACGGCCTTACAATGTTCTCCGTCTGATAACACATCCCTCAATTATAAAAGGAGAATATTCACAGGGGGCTTAATCCACGTGTGGACCTTGCAAATGAATTTTGGGCTTCAACTGTCACCCATAGATTTCTAAAAATCAAGTGTTCACAATTTAAACGCTGATACCATTCCCTCTTTTAGATTTGCATTATATTATTTACAATCCTTTGATCACACAGGCTGATGTGCTTCTTCCATGTGGACTTAGTTGACATATGGCAGGTTTTGTACTACAGTAGCTGAGGTGAGGAGCTGTCATAGAGACAATTTGGCCCACAGATCCTCAAATATATACTTTTTGACCAATCTAGCCTCAGGACTTGAACTTGCAATGTTCCCCACTTTGGACCTGCAATGTTCCCCACTTTGGACCCGGTATTACTCACAAAGCACCATGTCAGAGTGTAGCACCTGGTGACCAGGTCTTGCCCATTACTCTCAACTCACAATTTACCACCTCTAGTCCCCAGCTGGTCATTTGCTTGCTGGAAGTTGCTCAGAGTCATCAGCCGGAACATCATGGTGCAGATCTGCACTGTGGATCTGGGGAGATTATGCTCTCTCAAAGCTGGCATGGTTAGGCTGAAGAGCCCTGCAGACAGAATCTAGGCAATATTAAGTCTGTGCCCTTTGGGAAAATTCTACACTGAGATGTCTTCAGAGGCAAGGGAACATTCTCCACAATAGATACTTTCTTAAGAATTTCAGTTTATCTCCTCCCTGGCTCTGTGCAGGTCTTTCTTTTGGGGGTGTTTCTCCCAAGAAATGGCATGTTTAAAAATGTGCTACATACCCAAATTGACTGGTATAGACAGCATAATAGAGCTATCACACAAAAAGATACAGATCAAGTCCATCTAAAAAGTCCCAATAGCAACAGTAACAAGAAAACCCTATGTCCAGACGGCTTCACCAGGGTATGCTACCAAGCATTCAGGGAAAAGTGGACACCAATTCCATATAGACTATTCCAGAATATGGAAATGGATGACAAGCATGCAAACTCATTTTATAGAGTAAAACCCTTACACTAAAACCAGGCAAAGATATTACCAGAATAAAAAATTACAGACCAATTATCTTTTATGAAATGTAGATGCTAAATTTTACAACAAAATTCTAGCTAATAGAATTCAGCAAAACATTAAAAAATAAAAACAAACATCACAATTGAGTGGGATTCAGACCAGATATGCATGGATGGTTCAATATTAGAAAAACAATCAATATAATTGATTCACTACATAAATAAAACAAAAGAAAAGCATTCAATCATAGAGTTCAATATAGAAAAGTCATTCGACAAAAATCCAACACCTATTTCTGATAAAAATATTTAATAAAATAGGGATAAAAAGAAAATTCCTCAGCATAATAAAGGCCATCTATGTAAAAGCAATGGCCATCATTTTGGTCAGTGGAGAGAAACTGAAAGCATTCCCTGTGAACAGGAACGAGACCAAAATGCCCTTATTTAAAATAGTCCTAGAAGTTTTGGCCAGAGCTTTTGGCAACAAAAAGAAATTAAAAGCATTCAAATTGGCAAAGAAGAAGTAAAAATCTCTCTTTTGCATATGACATGATTCTCTACCTTCAAAACCCAAAGACTAAACAACAATAACAACAACGAAAATTGCTGCAATTTATTTTAAAACTTGGTAATATGGCAGGTGACAATATCAACAGACAAACATCACTTGGCTTCCTACATACTAAGGAAAAGAACTTTTAAAAGAAATTAAGAAAACAAAATCATTTACAACAGCCATTCAACAGATGAGATACTTAAGAATAAACCTAACCAGAAAGACAGAAAACATACACAGGAAAACTACAAAACACTACGACAAGGCGCCCAAAAGACCTACCGAAGTGGAAGAATGCTCCATGTTCACAGATAAAAGACCTAATATTGTGAAAATGATGATGTAAGCCGAAGCAATCTATAAGTATAATACAATCCTAATTCAGATCTCAGCATCATTGTTCAAAGAAATGGAAAGATGAAATCTCCAGTTTCATATGGTAAGGAAAAACTCAGGATAAGCAAAACTCGAAGAAAGAAGAACTCTAATTTCAACATTGTTATATAGTCATGGCCATTTAAACAGCCTACTATTTTTTTTAAATCATTTTATTGGGGGCTCATACCATTCTTATCACAATCCACACATACATCAATTGTATAAAGCACATTTGTACATTCATTACCCTCATCATTCTCAAAACATTTGCTCTCCACATAAACCCCTGGCATCAGCCCCTCATTTTCCCCCTCCCTTCCTGCTCTTCCCTCCCTCATGAATCCTTGATAATTTATAAATTATTATTTTGTCATATCTTCCACTATCTGACGTCGCCCTTCACCCACTTCTCCGCTGCCCGTCCCCCAGGGAGGAGGTTATATGTAGATAGATCCTTGTAATTGGTTCCCACTTTCTACCTCACCTTCCCTCCACTCTCACCACTGGTCCTGAGGAGTTCATCTGTCCTGGATTCCCTGTGTTTCCAGTTCCTATCTGTACCAATGTACATCCTCTGGTCCAGCCAGATTTGTAAGGTAGATTTGGGATCATGATAGTGGCGGGGATGAAGCATTTAAGAACTAGAGGAAAGTTGTATGTTTCATCATCGCTACCCTGCACCCTGACTGGCTTGTCTCCTCCCCGCGACCCTTCTGTAAGGGGATGTCCAGTTGCCTACAGATGGGCTTTGGGTCTCCACTCTGCACTCACCCACCTTCACAATGATATTTTTTGTTCTTTGATGCCTGATAACTGATCCCTTCGACACCTCGTGATCATACAGGCTAAACAGCCTACTATTGGTACAACGATAGAGAGATATGTAGACCAGTGGAACAGACTAGAGAACCCAGAATAAAACCATGTATCTATAGACAACCGATTTTTTGAAAAGGGGCCGAAATATATTAAATGTGGAAAAATAGTCTCTTCAAGAAATGATGCTAGCAAAATTGGATTTTCATTTGCAGCAGAATGAATCAGGATCCATCCTTCATACCATATACAAAAACACTCAAGTTGGATGAAAGGCTTAAATGTGAACACAGAACTATAAAGATCATTAATGAAAAAAATAAGGACAAATTTAGCAGCCCTCACACATGGCATAAATACATTAGGAAACACGAAAAACACCCATTTAACAGAAGACAAAATAGGAGCTGGGGCCTCCTCAAAACATATTTGTATTTATTAAAAGACAATCAAGAGAGTAAGAAAAGAACCCATAGGAAGGAAAAACATTATGAGCAAGGATATATCAGATAATGTGCAAATCTCAAACATCCATAGAAAACGACAACACTCCAACCAGAGAAAAGCAAATGACACAATTATAAAATGGGTAGCAGACATGAGCAGAGAACTCACCGAAGGTGACATCTGGGTGGCCAACCAAACAAATGAAGAAGAGTCTCGACTTCCTCCAGCACAGTGGTGAGTTCAAACTGCTCACCTTGCAGTTAGCAGCCCAAAGTGTAACCCCACTACCCAACAGGGCTTCTTGTCTTTCTTTTATAAACCATGTTGTTATGGCTCTTACAGCTCTTATAACCCATGCATCCATTGCATCAAGCACATTTGTATGTATGTTGCCATCATCATTTTCAAATATTTTCTTTCTACTTGAGCCCTTTGTATCAGCTCCTTTTTCTCTCCCTCCCCCATCTTCCAACCCTCATGAACCCTTAATAAATTATAAATTATTATTATTTTCATATCTTACACCATCCACTGTTTCCCTTCACCCATGTTTCTGTTGTTTGTCCCCCTGGGGTGGAGGTGGAATGGTTATACATCGATCATTGCGATTGATTGCCCCTTTCTCTCCTCAGTTTTCCCCTACCTTCCTGGTATCGCTACTCCCACTACTGTTGCTGAGGGTTTATCTGTCCTGGATTGCATGTGTCAAGAGCTCTTATCTGTACCAGTGTTTATGCACTGATCTAGCTGTATTTGTAAGGTAGAAGTGGGATCATGATAGTGGTGGGCAGGGAGGGAGAAGTAGCATTTAAAAACTAGAGGAATGCGATGTAACAATGATGAGAAATACAACTTTCCTCTAGTTCCTAAATGTTTCCTCCCCGCTCCCAGTACCATGACTCGAATTCGATCTTGCAAGTCTGGCTAGACCAGAGGAGGTACACTGGTACAGATAGGAACTGAAAATACAGGGAATCCAGGACGGATGAGCCCTATAGGACCAGTGGTGTGAGTGGCAAAACAGGGAGGGTAAAGGGAGAATGGGTAGGAAGGAGGGAACCGATTACATGGGACTGTGTGTGACCTCCTACCTGGGGGACAGACAACCGAAAAGTGGATGAAGGGAGACGTCGGACAGGGCAAGATATGACAAAATACCCATTTATAAACTATCAAGGGCTCATGTGGGAGGGGGGAGCGGGGAGGGAGGGGAAAAATGAGGACCTAATGTCGGGGGTTTAAATGGAGAGAAAATGTTTTGAGAAACGATGTACAAATGCACTTTACACAATTGATGTGTGTATGGATTGGGATAACAGTTGTATGAGCCCCTAATAAAGTGATTTATATAAAAAAAATATTAAAAAATAAAATAAAAACTAGAGGAATGTTGTGTGTTTCATAGGTGCTACATTGCACCCTAATTGGCTCGTCCCTTCCTTTTGACCCTTCTGTGAGGGGATGTCCAGTTGTCTACAGATGAGCTTTTGGTTTCCATTCCTACCCCCCTTGTTTGCATCGATATGATTGTTTGGGGTCTTCTGATGCCTGATACCTGATTCCCTCAAAACCTCGTGATCACATAGGCTGCTGTGCTTCTTTCATGTGGGCTTTGTTGCTTCCCTGCTAGATGGTCGCTTGTTTAACTTCAAGCCTTTAAGACCCCAGTTGCTATATCTCTTAATTGCCAGGCACCATCAGCTTTCTTAACATTTACTTAGCCACCCATTTTGCCTTCAGCAATTGTGTAGGGAAGAATACCAGGTCACTAAATCAAAGTGTTCTTGCATTGAGGGAGGACTTGAGTAGCGGCCCCATGTCCGTCTGGCACCTTAATACTTAACATATAAATATATGTACCTAGACCTATATCTCTATTGTTATATATTAATATATTTATATATATACATGGCTATATCTATACCTCTAAATGTCTTTTGCCTCCTACTTCTTTCCTCTATTTCCTTTTACTTTCCTTTTGTCCCATTGTAATGTTTGACCTTCATTTGGCTCGCAGTAATTCCTCACGGCTACGTTGCACTTGATCAAACCCCACCAGGTGTTCTACTCCCTCCTCCACATTGATTTTAGACCTCTTGCTGTTCCCTTGTCCCTGAGTTTGTTGGTTCCCCACTCCCTTTCCCCAACCTCTGTTTTCCCTGGGGCCCCCCTCCCCAACCATCAGTCCCTATTGTTTTCTCCTTTAGATTATCTTGCCTATTTTGTATAGATAGACATGAAAAAGAAGAAGAAAAAAGGCCTATAAGTAATTTCAGGTCTGCTGACCCTTCTGTATGATTTCTGGTTGAGTCTGAGGAGGTGCCGAGCCCTGCCCTCCAAGTCTGAAGGGTATTTTCAGGATTCCTCAGTGTGTTAGACAGGGTTCTAATAAAACCAAATTGCTGATAATATATTTATTTATAAAGATAATTAGATATAGAACAAGAAATGAACTGTTAAATCATATACAGATAAATATATAATACAAGAAATGAACGGTTAAATTTTAAAGCACTACAAATGGCTCACTGCAACTCATTCCCGTGAGAGAGAGTTGTGAGAGACTAGCAGTCCTTCAAGTGTAGTCTGCTGCCAGATCTTCCTCTATTTATAGAGAGAGCTAGGCTATGTCAGCACAACAGCCAATCACAAGGCAGATCACCAACTGTCAGCCAGGTCACCAACCGCCAGTCTCCAGATCCAGAGATGTCTTAAAGGGACCTCAACTTACAGCAACACAGTCCACAGGCCAGGCGTCCCACAGGTAGTGTAGCCTTTAAATTGAGGCACAGAACAAGCAAGGCAGCCGCACACTGGTCCGATGATCAAAGAGCGAGAGACAAGAAAGACAAGTCTCACCAAGCCATTTATCTCTCGCCCTTCAGTTAATCCCACTTGTGTTTATCAGCCAGGCTGGCACAATAAACTATCTCACTCAGGGAGTTCGTTACTTTGCTCCTCTTGCTACTGTGTTGTGCTTCCTTCACATTTCACCCTGGTGTGTGTGGGGGCCAGAACGAGAAAAATTCCTACACCATCTCCAGTGCTGTCCTCTGCAGCGCTGTGGGTCAGTGAGGGGACATCGTGCCTTGGGGTGGGGTTGCCCCTATGGTTCTCTCTGTGCCTTGGCTGTTACAAACAGGAGTGTCATGCTTGGGACTTGGATGCTGTCACTCTTTCTCTCTCTCTCCTTCCCTCTTACTTTGCTCCCGTGTGGTCTGGGCAGACTTGCCACTCTCCCTGTGTTGTATCTTCAGTGCTGTCCTCTGTAGTGCAATCTTTTGGGGATGGGGTAGACTTAGCTCAGATTGGGGCCAGCCCCACAAACCTTGCTGTTTCATGCTGGTATGTTGCTCTCAAGACTTGGCATACCAGGTTGAGGTCTGGTCCCTGTTTCCCTTTCCGGTGGAGACTAGGGCTCCTTTTCAATGACATGCATTGATTAACAGAAAATAACAAAGAAAAATACGTACAGATAATAATGAAAAAGTTACATTTCCATAATTTATTTAAATTACAGGCATATTTTTATTTATATGTGTGTATTGTGTATGTGTGTTCAGAAGTTATCCTATTTATGAGAAACAATAGTAGATAAATTCTGTGTTTTTTCAGCTCTCCATTATACAGATGTTAGAAAAGGAAAATAAATGTAACTTTTTTGAAAAACATTTCTCCTGAAAATCTCTTTGTAATATCCCAAGTCTTTATGAGTACTTCCTACAAATAAGTTATGCTGTGAAATTAAAACAAGCAAAAAAAAGAAGAAATATTTGATTATTAAATATGGATAATTACTAAAAGCTCACTAACCATTCAAGAAATCCAAATACAAACAATGATGAGACACCACTTCCTACTGGCACTAATAGCAAAGTTCAAAAAACCTAGAAAACAAATGCTGGAGGAGATGTGGATACTGGAACCGTCATACACTCCTGGAGGGAGTGTAAAACTGTACCACTGCTATGCAAAGTGGTATAGAGCCTCCACCATCAAGTGTGAATAGAAATACTATATGATCCAGCAGTCTCTCGACTTGGTATATACTCTAAAAGAAATAAGAAGCAAAACATGAGCAGGGATATGCATAGCCATGTTTATTGGAGCATTATCCATAATAGCAAAAAGATGGAAATAAGCTAACTGCTCATAGGTGGAAGAATGGATTTAAAAAGCTTTTGTACATACATACAGAGGAATATTATCCATCGCTAAAGAACAATGATGAAACTGCGAAACATCTTATTACATGGATGAATTTGGAAGATATCATGCTGAGTAAATTTAGTCCAATCTATAAAGATAAATACTATACGAGACCATTATTCTAAACAAAAAAACCCCAAAAAACAAATAAAATGAAACTAAATGGTTTTAATAACGAAAGAAGAAGAATTTATGGTTACAGAGAAACTAGGGAGAGGGGAAGGGAAAGAGAAGAAGGAGGAAGAAAATAAATAAAATCAATTAAAGGAGATAGTCCCACACTAGCTGTAGATAAATAGATAAAAAGATAGATAATAACACGGATAGTATGAACACACACACACACACACACACACAAAATGAGGAAATTGCTAGAACCCTATTCAGCCCTTTGTTGTTATTCTATCTACCCCAAATCCATTACCTGTGACACAGTAGGTATTCAACAATGGTCAATAAGTGAACAAAGGAATGAACTTCACCAACTCACATGTGACCTTGGCCAAATCACTAATTGCACTTATTCCTCATCCTCTTTGGGGAGGAGGGAGACACTCTGGTCCTCTCCATCCTCTACCCACCTCCCTGCTCCCAGAAGCGACCCTTCTCCTTGGCTGAACACCAAGTCTGGCCTGCCCTGCCGTTTTGGCGGAGTGAGGAGATTATATGAAAGGAGTCATACCTTCGACACACTTTGTGGGGCAGGCCTGGCATTTGCTCTGGGTAGAATCCCTCACCACAGGCCGGCACACACTTCCAGTCGTGGAAGTGGAAGGTTTTCGCACAGTGAATACAATCTTCTCTGCCAGGCCCTGTGGGTGCAGGAACAGAAATGGATATCAAGGGTCACCCCATGGATCACTGTGTCCCAGGCCTACTATAGCACATGATGAACTCTATCCAGACACCCACAGCCACCTTTGCTAGTGTTTCCCAAGTAGCCACCAAGAACCTGAACCAGTCCCATGACTCTTGGGGGGTGAGTGTTGCTGTTCCCATTTCACAGATATCCTTGGGAGCATGATATGCACAGCCCCATACTACCTGTGCCACACTGGTTGCAAGTACGTCATTGTCCAATACTACTGCTTCTCTTAGACCTGTACCAGCTAGTATCAGAGCCAGTAGCCAGCACAGGTAGCTTATGAGTACTTGAAATGTCTCTATACAAAATTAGGATGTATTATAAATGACACATACACACCAGTGTTCAAAGACTTAGAATGAAGACTCATTAATTTTTTTATGTTGAGTATATGTTGAAATGCTAATATTTTAGATACTCTGGGTTAAATAAAGCATACTATTAAGATTAAGTTGACCTATTTCTTTTTACTTTAAAAAATGTCGCTATCTGTGGTAGTCACCTAATCTGGTGTCAATGTAAGGAGTAAGTGTGTAGGGGTGGAGTCTAGGCTGTCAATCTGGAGATAGCCAATGAGACTTCTTTTTTTTTAAATCCTTTTATTAGGGGCTCATACAGCTCTTTTCACAATCCACACATACATCAATTGTGTAAAGCACA